CAGACTGAACTTTATTCTTTATATGCTGATAATTCTATTGAAGTGAAGGTTGCAATTAATGTTGTAACGTTTCTGTAATGCCTTCCAAGGCAGGCTGATTAATAGTTACATACTATGTATCCGAGTCCTCCCATATCCAGTCAGCCTCAGCTTTCAATTTTATTTGAGATCCTGTTTGGTAGTTTAGTTCACAAACAGGTTTTATTTAACATTTTAAAGCCTTCCTCTTTTTACTCCTTTTTTTACCCCAAGAGAAAACTCAACTTCTATTTTATTTTTATGCAGCCTGTTCTTTTCTTTAAAAAAAGCTGGGGGAGGGGGGGTACATTTTGATGCACATTCTCATGTCTGTTTTAATCACTGTTGCTCACTTTATCAAAAACAGATGGTGTTTGCTGAATTTGTTTGTTCCAAAAATAAGCAATTTCCAACTGTTAGGAGTAGAGGTGTGAAAAAGAAAAGGCCTGATTCATGAACACTGTTTCTCCTTTTCATGACTCTGACAGAAAAAGAATGGGACTGCTTCCATGTACTGTAAGAGGTGACTAATTACAAACTCGGCAAACCCTTCACCATGGAGTGTTTTTTCCTGCTACTGTACCCCTGAGATGTGCCAGTCTAAAAGGCACCAGTGTCTAAGATATGCATAGCTAGAGCTTAAATAGCCTCACACTCTTTGCAATGAGAGTTATCACCAGAATTGGTAAAATGGGCACAGTCCACAAGAGAGGGAAAGCACTGATCTGAGACCCCCTGCTACCATGCTGGGTACCTAGATTGGAGCAGCATAATTAGGGACTGCACAGACTTCAACGGTTCTTAAATCTCTCTTTAAAGTACTGAGGCACATGTCCTCTATGCAGATAGCACTGTGGCCTTATGCAGGTCTCAAAGGAACCACAGGATCTGGGGGTGGGCTGCCACTCCTTCTGTTGGAGGTAATGAGAGGGGGAAACCTTTTCCCACTTGAAAGACATGCTTAGAGCAGACTCAACCAGGGGAACCGTGGAGTTTTCTTCCCACCCTTGATCCTCTTCAATGGGCTTTTCCACAGGAGGGGAAAGCCTACACCTGCTCTTGTTTACTATTTTCACATGATAACCAATATGAAAAGGAGCAAAACCTTGTGCTAACTTCTGTTTCAGAAGTTCAAATGAAGGTTTGCAGCTCTCAAATGACTGAGCTATCTGTCATCACACCTTTACCTTCTAGTCTAGGCCTTGCCTCAGGGACCTCATTGGTGGCTGAAGGCCCCTGAAAGTATACCAGCACTATGGCAGCAGTGAGAGAGAAAGGTCTCTCCCACCCACCTCTACTCCACATGCATCAACCCTACAACTAAGGTATTGATAACTCCTTGCAGGTGAAGTGAGCCGCTGATCTTGAGCATGCCGAAAACCCTGATTTTGAGGATAGTATAGGGGCCCTCCCTGCCCCATTTCTGGGGTTGACACCACACAGAGGGGAAGCAATTCAAAGCGCTTTATTCCTTTCATGGCACAACTGAGGTTTCTGCCACTGTGGTGTAAACATATCACTGCAGCTCCTCAGGCTCTATGTCTTGAAGTGCCAGTCACTGCATAAGCCAGAGAAGTGTGAACCTTCTGGGAATATCTTCTCTGAATATAGGGGGAAAGGAAAAAAAAAAAAGATCATCACTGCAAGGTGCCCCATTATGTTTTTGAAATACTCCCAGTTTGCTTAGCATTTATCCAGGAAAGCTAATTACACTTGTCGCTTAATGTAAATTGCTGGATAAATAAACATAGAAATAGGAGCTTAGTGACTGCTATGTTTTCTTTAAAATTCCATCTAAAGGTTCATTATGCTAAACACAAAAGAGAAGGGAACTTCTTACAATGCGCTTATTAAAGGCACATTTTCTACAGAAATGATCATAGTGTGATTGTATAATAGCATATAATTTGCTTTGTTGGCATTTTCAGCATGAAGCTTGCAGACAGCAGGCATGGATGGTGAAACTGGCTGCAGGGATGCCACTTGTGCTGTTAGAGCTGTCAATGATTATTCTGAGGAGGCGGATTCTTTACCCAACAAGGGGAGCATATCACAGCACTGGAAGAAAATACACAGCTGACAATAAAACCTCTACACAGTGCAGGAGTTAATAAACCGCGGTGCTTGTTTACATGTACCTACATTCTACAAGTGTAGAGCAGCCTGAATTCACACAGACTTCAACACCTTGAAAGAGGCAGCAGTAACTTGCCCAAGTAGTGGCTGAAAACAGATCTCCATATGTTGTCCTGCATTAATATAATATAATCTGAAAACAGCTAAAAAACTGGGTATATTCAGTGGCATCAAATCTGAAAATGCCACAATTGTTTCTCCATAAGTGTAAACAGGATGCATAGCAAGGAATGACTGCGGCCCCTCTTCAATTACTTTTAACATTCAACTGGAGCCAGAAGATGTAAGTGTGCATAGATACAAAACTGCTCCAGGTCAAGCTCCACTTGCTATCTGCCATGCTCAAATGGGGAACTTGGCTACTCGTGACAGATCTAGGGGGCTATTCAGTTAGGAGCACTTCTTTCAATTTGGCCACAGCTATGTTCCAGGTGTGTGGGTGGAATGAGGGCAATTATGAACCAATGTGATAAAGGACATTTGTCCACCCAGGAGACTTTTCTTTGCTAGGGCTTTTAGTTTGATAGCTGTTTTAGCCTTGTCAAACCATTCCCAGAAGTTGTGTAGTATCCTGTGCTGCCTTTGAAATTTGGTTGTTATCCTGAAAGGGCAATTATTATGGAAGTGGGGATTAAATCTGTTGTACATTTTTTGAACAACTTTCTTTTCATTGGATGTTGCATGTCAAAAACTTGCCAGCACATTTCAGCCTCTTTCCAGGAACTGGCAGTAAGGCTAGGAGCACTACTGAGGTGGGGATGGACCTGGCATCTCTGGTCTTCATAAGTACTGAGCTGGATTTTGTAATGGGAGACTCCAACTGAGAAAGAAGTGTCATCCCTCTGGTCACTGGTGCAAGCCGTATGTGAACAAGGCTCTTTGTTTCCAGGTTGCCATGGCTGTATTGCTTGGCAGTGAAGAAAGCTAAAGAGTTTATTCAGATCATAACAGAAGACACCCTAGTATTGGGCAGTATTAGCACCATTATACATACTAGCATAGGTGTACAGTGCTAGATGCTTTACAGAGTCCTTGGGTAATTCCAAATAGTAGCTAGCTATCAGTATGGTCTGATGCGCCTCATGGCTTCATGCTACAGTGATGAGTCTGTAAAAAGAATCTGAACACACAGCAATTCACTGAGGTCTGATTCCCCTGAACACACAGACTAGGGACAGAAGTTACACATAAACCAGTTTAAGTTATCAGAAACTGGTTTAAACCTGTAACAGAACAAAACTTCAGTGGACATAAACCCGTTTCAAAATGGCCAAAACTGGTTTAAGATAAGCCTGGTTGACTGTAGCATCAGACTTCACTGATTGAGGTCAAACCAATTTATGGCACTTCTGTCCCAGACCCCTTCCTGGTTTAAGTTAAATCAGTCCCCCAGCACGCTTTTCAGCCCTGGGCTGGGCTGGGCTGTACTGTCTACTCCAGAGAGCAGGACTAGCCCCGCTCTTCTGCTCCCTAGCTGGAGCAGGGGCAGAGGAGTGGCCAGACACCAGCCTGGCATGGCCCTCTGAGGCAAAGGCGGCAGGGAAGGGGTTTATTTCCCCCTTACTTCTCTCCCCCCCTCTCCCAGGGGACCCCATCTAGGGTCTGCCTGGCCAGGGGCAAGCGGCGGAGGTGGTGGCCAGGGCTGGCAGACCCCGGCTGGGGTCCCCCGGTGGGAGAGGGGAGGGAGGGAGTAATAAACACCCTCCCTGCCCCCTTCACCTTAGGGGGCCATGCTGGGCCAGCATCTGGCCAGGCTCTAGTGAAGCTCTTTCCCCCTCCCCTCCCCAAAACCCTGGCAAAGGCTGCTTTCCCCCTCCCCCCCACCCTCCAGGCACACCCCGGCTGGAGTCCCTGCAGGCCAGGGAAGGGGTTTAAATCCGTCCCCAATTATACTTAGCAGCCTCCCAGTGTCTGGCCTGCCCCCTCCCTCAGCTTAGCTTCCCTCCACCCAACCAGTGCAAAGGGGAAGGGAGGGTTCACTCTAGCACCCCCCTCCCCTCCCCAGATTCTGGCCTGAACCACTGCAGGCATGTGCCTGCATTTCCAGAATCAAAAGTAAATGTCTATTCACTTGCTTGCTGGTACCATCTACACAGGTTAGACTAACCTGCAAAAATTGAATCAATTCAGGCTTGGGCTTTTTGAATGTCTGTATTTAGCCACAGAGCCCATGATAGACAGCTACAGGCCCATGGCATCTGTGGACTGCATTGATAATGGCTAGAATTGCAATATTTTACAAGGTCACCATTTTAGTTAATTGGCTGATACCTGATTTAAAACCATGGCCTATTCCTGGAGCCTGAGAAAATGTAGACTTTTGTTATTTACCAGTCATGTGGCAACATCAATAATGTTTTTAGTTTTATTCATCTGAAGCAGTCCGTGAGGAGCGCTCTTTCTGAACTGGGTTTTCTAAAACTGCTAGTTCACTCTTGCTCAATGTAGAATGTTTATTGTACATGCAATGGTTACACACACAAAGCCCACATTTGAGAAATTTCGCAAATATGCATACTAGTATATTGTGGCAATCCAGCCTTTTTACATATACAGCTATGGCCTGTTTGTGTACTATAGATATTTAAAGATATTTTCCATGTGTAATTTAGTTTCCACTACTACAGAAGACAGAACAGTTCAAGGTGCATTCTTCCCATCTGATTAACAGCAGTTATAGAAGTGCCAATGTCTAAATTATGACAACACAGTGAGAAGTGTCTATGCATTGGTCCTTCACAAAGTACACTGCATGCAAGAATTAGAGAAGGCTACTATCTTCCCCCCACCTTTTGATCTCTGTACATCTCTTGAGCAATCAATCAAAAACAGACATAAAAACTCACAATCCTCAAATTTTGAGATAGTCGTGGTCTCAGGTGCTTGGTGTGCAGGGGCTTGAGTCTCGCAGAGTTTTGAGTAAATGTGTAGGACTTGTGCTTGCCTTTCTTTTGCTTTTTGCTGTTGTTCTATTTCTTGCAAGCTGCCATTGTCCGGTTTAAAATGGCTCTCTCTGTTTGCAGGATTTTGAGAATCTCTACGCGTCTCAGCTCCAATACAATAGCTTTCCTCATGGGAATCTTCAGCTGGTTTTTCCAATCCTGGAAGATATGGAACACAAATCATCTTATCTGATAAGAGCATTAAGAATTATTCTGAATTGCACAAGAGACAAGGACTAACTGCATCTCCTTCAAATATTTCCCATTACACTTTGAGACAGAATATGAACCAAAAGTGGAAAACACAAGATTTGTAGTCAGGAGACCCAGGCCATGTGTAGACAAAATGAGGGGCATGTGTGCACAACACTTTAAAGCAGGCTAAATGCTTTGGCACCGCTTTAATGGTGTTGGCGTTTGCACGCATCAGCTGTGTATTGCGCATTAATTACAGCGGCTGTAGCAAATTCGGAGGCATAATTCACCTTAAATGACTTGGGGCGCAGCAAACTAAAACTCCAAGGAGGAGTTTTAGTTTGCTGCCCCTACAGCTGTGGAATGAAGCACCGGGCTCCGTGCAGCTCAGGGGCTCTGCAGGAAGCCCTGCAGGCAGCCTGGCAGCAGCCTGGGAAGACAGGCTCCACCCAAGAAAGGCAGGGAGTCTGATCTTTCCCCCCCCCCCTGCCTGAGCTGCGTGGGGGCCCAGTGCTTCCCTCTGCAGCTGCAGTGCCCCCCAGGACTGCCTAAGCCAGGTGCCTGCAGGTGGGTGCTGCTTGGGGGAAATGTGCTGCTGTCGCAGAGGGGACCACTTCACCTGCCAGCAGCTCACCATTCCCGCCCCTTCCCACCACTGAAGAGGCAGGTAAGTGTGGTGGGTGTGTGCATGGCACAGGGATTTAAAGGGCCCTAAATTGAAGTGGTGGGTTTTTAAAAACACCACTTCAATTTAGGGTACCCATTTCATCTAGACATGCCCCCAGTTTCTAGTCCCATCCCTGCCATCAAATTGTCAGGTGATCTTGGCAAGGCCACTACACGTCTGTCCTATTGCAATGTAGATGGATGAGCTTGCCAACTGTCTGTGGTCAACATGGGGAGAACAATGCCTGCTTCACAAAATGATGCAAAATGTGATTAGTTTATGTTTGTAGCACATTTAGAGCATCTTGGATAAAATACCCTCTAAAACAGCAAAATGAACTTGGTGAGAAAAATCAAGATTCTACCTGATTATGATATTGAGTAATGTTGTATGAGCGGACACAAGCATTTTTGATTTTACATCACCTAGAGAGCGTTCTGTAGGAATCCCCAGGTCTCAAGAGCAAGTGTTATTAAGAGTATCATTGGTAGTTCTTATTCCATTCACCTCCTCCTCCAGTTTGAGTCTTACAAGGACTGAAACAGATGAAACTTCAGAATCCCCAGTTACCAACAATAGTTGATATTTCCCTCCCTGTTCCTACTCCTACTTTTATAAAACTCACTACAAATATAAAAAATAGAACATTTTGTTATGTATAAACATCTGTTGGAGTCAGGGACCTCTGCTCAAAAGGGTGCCTTTCTAGGGCCTTGATGAGGAAGGACACTGTCAGTTCATCCTTCAATTTCTGTATCTGGTCTCTGCCATTTGGTGTACGCAGAGGCTGATCCAGGGGTAATACAGTTGAATCCCCCAACCCTCCCTCCCTCCCTCCCCCCACTTTGATTCCTGCTCCACCTGCCTGGCAGTGGCAGCAGCAGCAGCATTTCTATTCAGGCAGTGCTGAGGGAGTCAATTGACTTCATGGTTCAATATAACGTACCTGATTTCTATTAATCTCAGGTGCTAATGACCCTCTCTCCTTTTTAATGCTCTTGATATCCCATTAATCAAGTTATATTTTCTTCTGCGATGTTGGTGTCTGTTAGCCATTCTTGGTAATATCTCTCTTCTGTTTTTTAGTCCTGCAGAATGCATTTAGTCCTAGCTAAAAACCTTAATTCAGGTGCAGTACAAATTAACTCAGGTGACCATTAACTCAAACATGGAAAAGACTGTCAGTGAAGTGTTGGATGCGTTGTCAAGATGGTCAAGAAGGCTAGATTTGTTTTATGGATTGGAATAAAGAACGTATATTTAACTATAATAACTACAGGACTAATAAAAAAATCTCTTGACTACTTTTGCCTAGTTTGTTATGTTTTTAACTTAATATGTAATCTAGCAAATTATTATTATTACACATTCCAATAAAGGTATATTTATTTTTGCTTTGATCTTAAACTGAATAGGCCCCTAGCATATTGGTAAAGCTTTTAGTTTCTTTTTACCTGAAGAAAAAATGTGTGTTCTTATGTCATGCTGAACTACATTATCTGCGACCCTTTTCCAAAACTTTTAGATCCACCCACGGGCACACTGAATGGGGGAACAGTGGCAAGATGCCCTGCTCCATCAAAGGTCCAGGAGAAGCACCCTTCTGGACCAATGGTACCCCAATCCCCAAACAGTCGTTGAGAAGAAATCCAATTACCTGTCTCTACTTCTGGGTTTTATCCAAAATCTGATGGGGTTAAACAAACAGGTTTATTTGGCAAACACACATTGTTAGATGCAAGCAAAGAAACATATAACTTGCTGCCCAACTCTGACTAAAGACTATCCAACAGGTAGCAGCCTGGTAAGGACTGATTCACATAGTTGGGTTGCATTGGCAAAGCGTAAGGGGTGCATACGGGTGCATATGCACCCCCTGAGACCGGCTGTACACCCCCTGGAAGCACCAGCTGCGAACCCCCCGCCCCCCGTCGGCGATCTGGTGCCCCCGCCCAGATTTGGGAGGCACCAGTTGCTCATGCTGGGCTGGGTGATTTTTTTCCTATTACATTGACATATTTGTTTCTCTTCTTATAACTGCTGCCATTGAAGAACTATAGGGAAACAGCAGGGCCAGGAAGGCCTGAGATTAAGCTTGTTCTGTCATAGCCTGAAGTAAATGTGTCAGTGTGTCATCACAGGCAGTGAGGAAGACAAGTAGGTTTTTTCTGTTAACCCATGCTAAAAACTATCTGTCAGAGCCCCAACCACTGCCTAAAAGGGAGCGGGGGGGAGGGGGGGGACACCAGAATGGAGTAGGAGGTGCCGCACCTTCCTGTCCCCTGCTCCCCCTCCTCCAGAAACCTTCTGGCTTCAGCTTCCACAAGAGAAGCAGCAGCAGTAGTCCGTGAGTGAAGGGCATTCTGGAAAATGTAGTTCTGTTGCTTGGCAGTGGCAGCAGTGCAGGAGCTGCACCTGCAGCAGTGCAGGAGTGGCAGCAGTGTAGGAGTCTTCACCACTACCGAGAGGAGATTTTTTTGGCCACTCACCTTGAATGTCAGCAGCCAAAAATGGAATGACACCTTCCCCTAGCAGCAGCAAACTCCAGCTGCCGCTCTTGCGCCACTGCCCACAGCTAGAGCCAGAGCCCTGCAAAGAAGGCACAGGGAGAGAGGACAGGGGGAACTGCCCAGGGTGCAGTCCTGGCCAGTTGCACTTTTGACTGGATGAATTGAACAGCTTATGCGTAGCACACTACTGCAGACCAAATCCTGGTCATCTTACTCATGTGAATAGTTCTATTTATTTCAATGGGGCTACTCCTGTGAGGAGGGTGAGCAAGATTTGAGCAAGATTTGGTCTGGGTTCTGCAGTGAAGAGGGGACCAAACACTAAAATGGCAGCTCAGCCTAATAGAGGAGCTAGTAACCCTGTGAAGCCCATTTAAACTGTCTGGCATGGTTGAGAGAATGGACTAAGGAGAGGCACGGTGCAATTCTGAAAAGAAAGAAAGAAAATTGCCACGAAAAGAAAAATCCATAATCAGGAGGGCCATCAACAGAGGAGATTCCTGGTTGGCGAGGATCCTCTTTTGATGGAGAAAATTCTCTACGTTTGTTAATTTTAATCCAGCTGACTTGACTTGAATTTGTAACCACCAGATGCATCTCAAGCAATGATGGATATTCTAAAGAAAATCAAATAAAGCCTTTTCTGAACCAATAAGTAGCATTCTTGCAGACAGATGAAAAAGACAATCAATCAGCCAAGAAACGGATAAAATTGTTGTCTCCCCTCCCCACTCCCAAAAATATTTAAAGACCTCTGCATCAAGCTGCCTTTCGTTTGTATACATATCAGATTATAGAAGATCTGCCTCTTTATAATTTTTTTTTAAAAGGATGGCAGCTCCAGTTCAATGGAGTTAGTCAGACAATACTTTAAGCTGTGTCAAAATGCCCGTTATCCTCAGATGCCACCCAGATTTGAATAATTTAGAGAGAGACAAAACCACAGAAAGGAGGAATCATCCTTTAGCTACTGCTGCTTTTGACACGGCTGCCTCCCTCTCCTTTTTACCAAAGCATCTTCGTCTCTCTATCAGCCATGACAAGTGCCAATCAAACCTTCTGTTTCTAAGGTTTTTTAGGGAAAAAAGAAACATGAAACATTTTTGAACAATCACCGAAGGAAGGCCTACTATCAGTGTGTGGTCTGGGGGAAGCCAGTCTTTTCCTTTTTCACTTCTAATCTCTGACCCACTGTTTACCTCTTTTTTAACACACTTTAATCTCTCTGCTGCTCTAAAGGATCCTAAACAAATTGTAGGTCACCATGGATTAGGCTGATTTGTGACCAATGATTAGTACATTTACTTTTCCTTTAACATCTTTAGCAACAGCTGAATGTCAAAACGATCCAGCAAAAGTTTATTTTGTGTCAATTAAAATGACACCCATACTGTATCAGAAATGCATTTTCTAGTTCAGGGAGGGTGGGAAAAAAACCAGAGCACAACCAGGGAATACTAACCATGGTTCATTAGAGTTAGTATGGAGGCAACCTCTCTAGTAATTCTGGAGCTCAGAAATATTTGTATTAAAAACTCTACACTACCATAATCATATTCTGTGCTGTTTTTAACTTTCAGATAGGGTAACATTAAGCATAAGCAGATTTTTTTCAGGATTCAGAAACCATTCTCACAGCTCCTAAGACAAATTTGCAGACAAGAATATATTTGTTTTAAAAGGTACTAAATTACTCAGAAAACATGATTAAGTCTATGGATAGGGATTAAGAAGGAACATTATTACCATATTAAACACACTGAACTAGATTTAGAGGTGATGCTTAATGTGGTTTAAATCAGAGTTCCCTGAGCTCAGGAAGACTTTCATATATCTACTTCTACCTGTCCTGCCAGTATATGATGGAGAGTCCAAGCGTACTTTACACACAAAAGATCTGTAAGGACTGGTACATGGAAATATATAGCACTGCTTTTGCTTACATCTTTTTACAGCTGCTTGACATGTAATTTACATCATCTTAAATTTCCTTATGCATCTGCAGAGCAGGTACAACAAATTTTAAAAGGATCTGAGGAGAAGACCCTAGCAGCTGCTAAGGTCATTGTCCTTCCTCATTGCTCTAGCCAGGTCACTCCTTGTCTTTATCTTTCCACTGGCTTCCTTAGATCCACCACTTCAATTTCAAGGTTTATGTCATCTTCAAGGCCTTTTGCAGCTCTCATTTCTTGCTTGGCTCTTCTCGTCTCTAACTGAGTTGCTCCCTTGCTCCCGGAGTTCCAGTAATGCCAATCTTGGTCCTTAACTGTTATAATCTCTTCATTCTTTTCCTTATCTCCCTTATGCATAGAATGAAATCCCTAAATTGAATTATAACTTCAGTACTCCTCCAGCTTTCAAAACCCTATTATGTTGCCTAGAGGAAGTTACCTACTAATAACTGCTAGATACAGGAGAAGTTGAAAACAGTAGATATTGCTGGCAATTTATCAAAGCTCTCTGTTTAAGGCTTAATGTAGAACTTGCTTTTCTGGTTTACTTGTTGTAGTATGATAAAAGAAATGGTCATGTAAAATCAAAACTTTTATTTTCCCTGATTGACAAAAATGCATACCTTTAAAACTGCTATCCAATAATCTCCTTAACATTAGGGTGTTTGAAAATCATGTTTGTTGCACATACATTCACACCCACACTGTTCTAAGAATTGCCCCTGAGTTTCCATTTGGGAAGTTTAATATATACATCACCATAGTTAAAATCCAAGACAGAGAGAGCACACATGCTCATACACAAAAGCATATTATCCTACAGAAATAAATATTTACTACAAAGCAGCCACATTCACTTACGCCCAAATCCAAACAAACACAACCTTAAAGCAAATGTTATTTGGGAGCTGAGGGGCCCAGCAGCATCCAGGATCAGGTCATTTATGTGAAATAATGCCAGAGGTGAGAAATACAGAGAACAAATGGATAAGCAAAAATATCATATAGGAAGAAGAACTAGAGTTTATATCTGCACTTTATGTGTATGGCGGAGTAATAGCTATTTGTTAACAAAGCACTGAGATGTACTTTATCGTATTATATGCATAGGCTGTCCACAATAATGAGAAATGCAATAATGACAAACACAGTAGTTCAATAGTTCATAACTAAAGAGGTCTCAAGAGCAACCATCAAAAATGTACCTGTACAATCCTGAATCTTGTGTGTTTGCCCAGTAAAGTGAGCTTCCCCATTCTCCATCTTGGGTGCAGTTTCATTCATGTCTGTCAGAAATCAATAACACAAGAAAGACTGAAGACATGCCAAGAGGTTTTTCTAAGACTTTAAAAGTTAAAGAGCTTATAAATATACAAGTCCAAGACTCAGGCATTTGTTTCATCATAACATGCTAAACAAAGAAATCAGAAAAACAATCAATATATTAAATGCATATTATAGAAAACTTTTTTAGATAGAAGGAACTGCCATTCCCCAAATCCTCCCTAACTTTAAAATGACACTGGATAACAGGCTTAAAAGAATATTTTCTTTTTCTGTCAAGTAAAAAAAGGACAAAGCTGAATTAACAAATGCCAAGAGAAATGAACACTGATTATCTCCGATTACCTTTGTTTCTTGTTCTTTGTATGTTTCTGATATTACAAAAGGATCTTAAAATGCAAATCTTTACTCCTGCAAAGAAACCTTTTGCCTTTAATGAGATTCTAAGTAAGTATAAGGACTTGTGCAGTAGAATCCAACAATTTAAGTTGCCCAGAGCAGATGTCTAACATCTAATTGTGAAGCTCATAACAAATTTGTTAGGTGATATCCACGTAAATAGTCATCACTATCACTACTATTGCATATAAAAACTTGTATGATGAGTAATCTCATGAAGGTAAAATTTCAAGGAACTTTAAACATTCTGGGCCAGATCCTATTCTACCTGCTAAACACTTGCAGGGATTTCAATGCCTATGCACAATCCTATTTCAACCTGCTCAAATCCCTGAAAAAAATGTTAATGTCCTTACTTTTGTAACATGCTATCAGTTTATTCTCTAAGCTAAATCCGAAAAAGCAGGAAGCAGGAGGAAGACCTATCTACCTTTGTGTCAACAGTTTTTCAGGGACTTGAGCAGGGTACAGTAGGGTCGTACCTAGGCACCTACTTGTGAAGTTCCACATTACACTTAGACCAGAGAAAGATCCATTAAAATGCATGCATCCACACATTAAAGCTTGTTAACTCATGCCAAGTGCCCTCTCAGTGTCTCATTTATGCCACTTCAGGCGAGGATTAACTCTGGGTTCTGTTACCCAGCTCTCATTAGGGTAATTTCAGTCTGCTCAATGGAGATAAAATGGACAAGCATCCTAGAATGCAATGCTCCCACTGCCACCCCTTCCACCTAGAACAGGGATAGAGCCTAGGTGCCCTAGCCATTCCCCTGTTCACCAGCCCTCTAGGGATAAGTCAGAGCTGTGCAGACAAGAAACAATATAAACCCTCAATGTGTGCTTGCTCATAGGACATTTTAACTTTAACTTTGCTTAACATTGCACAGATTTAGTATGGTCCAAGTGTAACGTGTAATTTCACCCTAATAGTTGGAATAGGATCTGACCTTCAATCTTTCAATTAATCTTATAGCTAGGGGATGTTTACAACAATCTCATGGGCAACAGATCACATTTCATTTCCTGGTCTGCTTAGGGGGAAATATAGATATGCCCTTTTCCATATAAGAGGTTTGTTGTCATGTTACTACTGATCTCTCAGTCTTCATTCAGACAAGAAACTCCAATGTCAGTAAGTATGATGGACTGAACTAAAACTAAGTAATGAGAACCTAGTAGGAACCAAATTTAGCTCATGGCATTAAATCATCTGACTAAAAATATCTATATAAAATAATACTGCCCTGATCACAAAACATTTACAGGTAAAGTTCATTACAAGAAGCAATGACTAAAAGACATCATTTTGAGAACATTTTTGGCAAAACATACTTCACAAATGACAGTGGGTGGATCAAACCAATTACAGAACATGAGCAAATCTTTCATAAATAAAATACCATTGCTGTTTTCACACTAATTGTTTTGTAACTCTAGCCCCAGATGTCCGGGAGCAGTTGTACTAAAACACTGTAAATCAATTTAGCAGTTCCATTCATGCACGGTGACAGATTTTGTGACAAACAGGATCACATTTCCTTTATAGACAAACTCAGCAAAGCACTCTGTTGGAACAGAGTAATTTGAATGGATTTGTTAAAAGATATACGAGGTTAGGTGAGCAACACTGTCACAGTCTCATTTTGACCCTAATCGCAAGTCTTCTATTTTGCTTTACTAAAAACACCCTTTCTAGGCAAGTCCATTATAAAACAGCAAAAAATAAGGAAAAAATCCTGACCAACTAGCATAAATAACTGATCGCATTGTTCCATAAAGGGGATATATCCATAGGTGTCAGGCCTCAGTCATGAATTATGCTCCACACAAGCAAACCTCCAAGCCTGTTTCAAGATGAAACTTCAGTGTATCTCTCTGCATTTCTAGGGCCCAGGGAACTACAGCCAGTGGTGTAATTTGGGGTGGGAAAGGGAGGCACTGTCTAAATGGGGGGGGGGGGGGCCCAAAAAAAAAGAGGGGGGGGGGGGGGGCACCAAAAAGATGACGAGGGGGCATCTCACCTTCCCATTCCTCACTGTGCCTGTACGAACCCACCAGCACAGGCAGTGCATGTCATGGACCACGAGGCATTCTGAGAATCCTAGTTTTGTAGAGACATTAGTGGAATTTGCTGCTATCAGGGAGGAAGAACCAAACCCCATTTTTACTGCTAAAATCAGTAATTTTTATTTATTTATTTATTTTTTTGCCTTCTCAACAGGTTCTTTGGTGGCAAAAAAAAATGGGTTGAAAGTTTCCACCCCCAGCAGAAGCAAGCTCCAGTGCTGCCCTAGAGAACAATTCCCAGAACATCTTGCAGTCCATAACATACTCTTCCCTGCTGCTGCTCCTGTGCATGGGGAAGCCAGGGGAGGGGGTGAGGTGGACGGCTGAGAGAGGACTGCCCTGAGTGCACTGTTTGGATATTACACCTCTGAATATAAAACTCAGTGTAAGATCAGCTACTTTATTAGCTAAATCCCTAAAATGCCTTCTGCACTTATGAAAATTCAAGATTCATTGGCTACTTTTCATTCTGCCCTTATTTTCTTCCATTTTGTTTGTACCAAAAGGGACCGGGTTAGGTGAATGTTAAGTAGCAAAGCACCGTGACTGGTAATTCATCATTGTTCACAACCCTCTTCTATTCTAACACCCTTGTGGAACTGGGCTCCTTTCATTTTCCATAGCGTATTTGGTGACTCTCTGTCCAAAAAGACTGTACATTGAAATGTATGTTCATCTGAATGGGTGATGGTTTGACAGTACATTAAAAATAAACAGCTATTTGACTGCAATTTTCCAATTAGACCTATTTTATTCTGATCGTTGTTAACTAAACTACCCTATTTTTTTTTCCATTTGAATTTCTCACCAAGAGTGAAATAAATGCAATTATCCCAGGGCAAGTAACTGTGTAACCACTTAAGCTATTTTGAGTTTAGCACAATTTCATATTATGTGAAGTACAGGGCATATTACATGGCTAACAATAGTATGTCTAACATATTTTGTATAATATCAAAATCATTGTGAAACATGTGGGTCTGGAATCTTTTAGGATGATTTCAAAACTCTGACTTATTTTAGGAGAAAAACAGAAAGGCCAAAAAGTAGGCCGTTTCTAGGATATTTTTGAACAAAGCATATCAGATTTATCCACCAATTGAAATTTATCCATGTGATTATATTTCACCACCAGAGCCAAGGAGGAAAAGAATCTATACTGAGGAGTTAATTAAAAAGAGTAAATATGTATTCCTAGCCATTTGTTCTCTATGACTAAAGTGGTGGTCAGCTCTTCTATCTGCATACTCGCCTTCTACCCCTCAGGAAAAGGAGAACAGTTCCCATGCAGAGGCACATAGGCAACACATCTCCAAACAGGGAAAAGCTAGCCAAGAGCATAACATATAACTTAACGTAAATCCTGAGGTGTCATCATTCTCACATTATAATTTATCTGTATTATGATAGCACACAGAAGTCCAGATGATATTGTGGCTTTATTGTGGTAGTCATGTGTGCTTACCCATCATGAGAGGCCATCCCTGCCCCAAAGCACTTACAGTGTAAAAAGACACAAACATGGCTTGGGACAGGAAACAGAGGAGTGACTTACCCCAAGTCAAAAGAATGGATCAATGGCAGAGCTAATAATAAAGAATGCAGTTCTCCAGAACCCCATTCAGGTGTCCCTACTCAAAACATTGCTTTACCTCTCATGAACCTTGCATAAAGTCAGCTTCGACTACTTAAGCAAAAGGACACCAAACTTAATCACATATTACACTTTGTACAGTACTTTGGAAGGCCTTCACCATATAGTTGTTGTTTTAAAGAAAGATAAGCTTGTAAATTGATTCAGGGCATTTTCCACTAAACCTTTTTTGAAAATGGATATAACGATGAAGGATGGCTGTCCTGCACCAGCTTTTTTCTTGGATCAGGTAAAATGCTACTCAGTGCATCTGAATTCCATTTTAGTCATTTACACAGTGATGATTAGACCCTCTTGTGACAAAGGCAAATGCAGTGAAATGCACCTACGTTGAACAAATCAAAGTTGCTGGTGACTTTGGTCTGCTAAAGATTTTCAGTAGCATTGGTAAAAACTATAAGAATCTGAAGAAATTTCCTTAGCCCTATTTATGTTCTATTATGCTAGCAAATAGAAGCAGACATTTCATGCAAAACTACAGTACTGAAGGTTAAGGGAATGATCTCATACTCTTCTTGTTTCTCCTGGTGGGATTTAGGTTTAATAAGAGTGACTTCTTTTGCTACAAAGATGCCTGGAAAATGCAAATGCAGTTCATGTTCTGAAGTCAAAAGTTATTACAGAAAGTTATGAATGCATCCAGGTTCGTTCTCTGATTTAGTATAACTACTAACTGCTATGAAAGAATACGAGGGGAGTGTTATGTGCCAATTAGTTTCTGGCTATTTTAAAGATTTTTTATGGATTCTGAGCCTCAGGTTCATTACCTAATTTAGAAGAGTGTTACCATATTCCCCATAGAGACCCCATACATATCTTACTTTTCATAAGTTTTAGAAGAATATTTGCCTCCTGTGATCAGGAGTTTATCTGCTTTAT